GATGAATGAGCCCCTTAATAAATCATCAGCCTCGCTAGAGAGGTAGGCGTAACTTACATAATGTTTAATGTTAGTATGTGTGAAAGTGGGGTGCACACTCAGTTGAATAGGAGGTCATGGCAGTGGGGGATGAATGTGGGTTGAACCAGTCATTGAAGAGCCCCAGTTGAAGGTCATCTCATAAAGATTAGCATTATTGTTAATAATGCTCCTCAATTTCTATAAACACATTGTAGAATATGAAATACATTTGCATGCCTTTGTTCTTTGAATTTTCTCAAAATGCTTATGGATAAATTGGAATTTACTGCCCAATGTTAAGAGATGAGACTATTCATAACTCGGGGATAATTTAAGGACTTTCCAAAGTGACCTCATGAGCATAAATCTCACTGAATCGAGCTCCAGAACTTAGTCCTTCTAGAAAACACCTGCAACTCAAGGGCATGTAGAAGGCAGTGTAGTCTAGGTACAGAAGAGTACCCATAAAGAAGAAAAGATAATAGCTACCACCTGTTGATTGCTCACTTTGAGACAATTACAAAGAAGACAATTAGCAGAGTATTATCTTGGTCAGTCCTGACAATCAATAAAGTAGATTCTTTTGTTATCCTCTTACAGAATTTACTAGTAATCTGTATGACTTTGAGCATATTATTCAAGTGCTCTTAGACCTAGCCTACTAATCTGTGAGGATAAAACCAGTGTTTTTATTATAATGAAATGAGATCATGCCTGTAGCTGTTGGTGACTTTATTATTACTGCTAGGGATTTTTTTTTTTTTTTTTTNTATCCTCTAAGCTTACTTTAACAGGTTTTTTTGTAGCCCAGCTCAGCTTCCTCCCTCTATTGTAGGTGTGCCTCTGGGCTACCTTAGCCTAGGCCTGACAGGTCACCTCCTTAAGCTCTTCTCATAGTCTCAGACCACTGGGTACTTCCATCACAAACACATTCTCTGAAATTTTAATACCATCATAATCCATAGATTGTTCTATCTCTTAATCTGGTCCTATCTCAAGGACAAATTTTTCCACACCAGGGCCTTGGTATCTTAATTTCCTGCTTAGAGAAAGTCTAGATCAGGACCCTGGCCAAGCTTGAGACCAGGAGTAAAACTAATCTGAGTTTGCATCACAGTACTGCCATTGAAGTTAAGTGACCTTGGAGAAATAAATTAACATCTAAGGCCCATTGTTAGTCATCTATAAAATGAGGATAATTACGTATATGAGAAGATCACATGAGGTTACATAGATAAGTATGGATAGCATAGTAGGTGCTGATAAAATATTTATTAGATGACAGAATGGCTATGTGAGTCAATGAAAGGATGAATGAGCCCCTTAATAAATCATCAGCCTCGCTAGAGAGGTAGGCGTAACTTACATAA